TTCATTTTGGAAAAAAAAGTGGATTGAAATGAAGCAATCTAATGCTATCCAATTTAGCCAGTTTTTTTTTTTAATGTTTTTATCCTAATTAAAAAGATGTACACAAGTCAGCTACATTGCAACTTTTTTTTTCAGCAATATAAATATAAATTTATAACTTTTATTTTTCATCCAAATTTATTATGCTGAAAAAGGAAAGCAAAAAAAAAAAAACATTCAGGTTTTCTTGGCTGAACAAATATCCGAGCCTGGCTTTTTGGTTGCAATCAAATGTATTGATAAGAAAGCATTGAAAGGTAAAGAGGAATCGCTAGAAAATGAAATTAAAGTTTTACGCAAGTAGGTTATACTTACTGTTTGTTACTTATTTTAAAACAAATGTCACTTTATTGATACAAGGATTTTTTTTTTGTTGCTATTTAAATAATTATTTTATATTGGTATAACATTATCTGTTCGTTATCTGTAGTTCCTGTTTTTGTTTCTATTGCTACAAATTTCTTTTTATTGATAAGTTTCTTTCAGTTTGAAGTGTAAAAAAAAGTTGCTTAATATTTAAGTAAATGTAAAATCAATTTTTCTCTCATAAAAATATTTGGAAAAAAAGACGGCTAAAAGAAAGCTAAATTTAGAGTTTTCAAAATAAAAAGCAAGAAATAAAACGGAAAAACTACTATTCTGAGTTATTAAGCACAATGTTATTAAGCATTAGTATTATTGCAAATGTTTGCCATTAAATTGACTAATCAGCTTAATATTATCTAATAAAATTTGTAAATGGGAAACGAAGGATATTTTAAATTTTGAATAAATTTATATGCATAATTATAAACTCCATTATCATTTATTGAAACTTTTTCTCTGTTTTTTTTCTTACTCACTAAATTTTATAATTTTTAAAAATTATTTATTGCATTTATTTCATTTAGATTACGACATTCAAATATAGTGCAATTATATGATACTTTTGATGAGAAACAATATGTCTATCTCGTTATGGAACTTGTCACCGGTGGTGAACTCTTTGATCGAATTGTCGCAAAGGTATTAATTATATCAGATATTGTGGATATTAATTTCATTCAAAATTCTTTTATTTGTGTTGTATATTTACATATATTTTCATTCTATACGTTTGTATTTCAAACATAAAAAAACGCGTTTTTTTGTTTAAATTAACATTTAAAAAGCATATTAAGCATCTAAGCGTTTTGGAATATTATCATTATTGTTTTGACAAAATAAATTGAAACACGCATTTTTTTTATGTTATGCAAACATTTTTAAGATAAGCTAAAATCCATATGGTAATCAAAATTTGAATATACTTTTTAATTTTTTGTCGTTTTTTTGAATTACCAACCGATATTATTATCATGGAAAATAATAGTTATTTAAATTAAAACAAATATTTTCATTCTCGTTAGTTAGTTTCATATTTTAAACTTTAAGAATTTGTATGAGACAAATCTCAAATAAAGTAATTAATTAAAAAAAAAGGTATTTCAAATGTTAATAGAAAAAAATTTTAATAGGGTTCATTCACGGAAAGAGATGCTTCGATATTAATGCGTCAAGTACTCGAAGCAGCTGCATTCATGCATGAAAATGGAGTTGTTCATAGGTAATTTCAATTTTTTTAAAAATTAACAACAAATATTTTCTTTTGTTTTTTTGTTTTTTTTTAAATTCAAAAATGAAATATAATTTATGTGTAGTAAAAAGAAGTTAAAAGAGAATAAAATACATAAAATTGAAATAAAAAGAGAAAATTGCATGGGAAAGAAGAAAGATAGGGAAAAAAATATAACAGTGATTTTATGCATTTCTTTTCCTTTTTTTTTTTAATTTTTACTTAAATATGAAAATAATATCAAATTTTTGTTTTCATAGGTTTCTTTTAATCGATAAAATTAATTAGTTTATCAAGCAATTATTTTTGCAAACAATTTTTTTTATTCTAAAAAAATCAGCAGTTGAAAAACCAAT